TAGACGCAAGGGTCGTGGAGTGGGAAGGGCGGGGGTCTGCAGAGCCGCCGAAGGGGCGTCAGCGGTTTCAGTCACGTGCCCTGCATCGGTTGTCGACCTTCTGCGCGTCAGTCGTATTTTGAAAGTATCCACAAGGTTAAAATGATATGGAATCCTTTATTATTCGTTGAAGAAACACACGGTATGAACTGTGAGGACGTCAGTTTGACTGGAAAACCCTTTACACAACTGTTGTCTGAGATCATTTCAACTTTTATAATTTCGTGATTTTTATAATTTTAAAAATTGTTGATTCAGAATCTGCGCGCTTCTCCCAAGCAGCCGTTTCCCCTTTCGACGTCTGCCCTCCAGGGGGGCGCATTCGTGTTCTGCGCTGTGCCTGCGTGGCCACCGACCCCCTTCCGCGGGGAGTCTCTTGGGGTGCTCCGGCCGAGCGGTGGGACCCCGCCGCGGAATGCACGGTCCCTGCGCACTCGGGGCCGCACACAGCGTCCCCAGCCCTGGCAAACAGCCCGGCCGCACGCTTGCCAGCATTTCCTGCGGCTACGATGTCACTTCACCAAACCGTCATTGGACTTGGTTCTGAAGAGAGTTTTTACACTTACTGTCAAATTTTCAGATGGGAAAGTCATTTGCATAGAACTGAACTGTCCACAGTATTTCTTGGTTTCTATGTACGTCGGTGCCTATGCAAATGAGCAGGTGATTTTAGATTCGAGGATTCAGTAAGAGCGAGACCTCGCAAGGCCTCTAATGCGGAGCATTTTCCAGAGAGGTAAAGACGGAATGGGCTCGAGCTTCCCCAGGGGACATGTCCTTCGGATTCTACTTTGAAATCCAGAAGGACTGTTGGGACACAGGACATACCAGGCACCATAGGGACCAGTGACTCCACAGAGCAGTGACCTCGGGGACCGACGGGGGGGCCGCGGGCCCCGGGGCGGGCGCAAGTCCACAGTCTCGCGCATTCGCCTGCCCTCCGAGACTCCTCCCCCAACACGTCGGTCACTCCCGAGCTCCTCCCCCAACACGTCGGTCACTCCTGAGACTCCTCCCCCAACACGTCGCTGCAGCCCATTGGTGGGCATCTGGTTTCCCAGGGGAAGAACGGTGACCAAGGCTTCTCCGCGCATCAGCCTCCTGGGCGGCCCCACGATCTCGCTTTTCTCCACGTGCTCAGCTCTGTCTGCTGCCCCCCACCTTCATGCTGCACAAGGCCGTCCGAGGGGAAGGCGAGAGGAAACAGGTAGAAAAGGCGGGTCCAGAGAGGGCCTGACGCACAGGTCCCCGGATTCCCCAGGTGGCCTGTTTCTCTGCTAGGAACTTTGGGCCCCTGGTGGGCAGCCCTCCTGACGGCTCCGCCCACAGCACCAAGCAGAGCCTCCGTTAGACGGTGAGGCGAGGAGGAGGGGGAGGAGGAGGAGGAGGAGGACGAGGACGAGGTGCGGACGAGCGCGAGGACGGGTGGGGGCACGGGAAGCAGGCGTTCCCTTTCCCTGCATCCTGTGACCAGCCAGCTCCAGCTCCGAGACAAGGAGGAAAGTGACATGGAGGGTCCTTTTCAACAGAAGAGTGGACAGGGCACCTTGTGCTCAGGGAGTTTGAACTTCCATGAAAGAAAAATGACTTAGGACTTAGTGAGGAGAGCACGAGCGCGAGGACGGGTGGGGGCACGGGAAGCAGGCGTTCCCTTTCCCTGCATCCTGTGACCAGCCAGCTCCAGCTCCGAGACAAGGAGGAAAGTGACATGGAGGGTCCTTTTCAACAGAAGAGTGGACAGGGCACCTTGTGCTCAGGGAGTTTGAACTTCCATGAAAGAAAAATGACTTAGGACTTAGTGAAAAGACTTGTACCCAAAAGGCTTCTTGTAAGGGAGGGAGAGGGACCGGTAGGGGACACTGGCCATCGGTCTGCAGGTGTGTCAGAGCTGAACAGAAAGTCCTTTCCTCTGCGGGGTCGGGGGAGGCGGACGGGGAAGCAGACCCTCTGGAGGGGAACGACCAGTGGCGTCTGCAGGGAAAGGCTCCCGCCGCGGTCAGCCGAGTCCCAGGGGGAGCTGTCAAGGGCACGCAGCCCGCCTTCAGGAGCTTGCGCAGGCTTGGGGACAGGCAGAGTTGGGGGTCTGCAGGAAGCTGTGGAACAGCGCGGGCCTTGGCAGGCCGAGCGCTCGGTCAGCTCAGGAAGTGAAAGGGAGCAACAGGCTCTGCGGAGTGAAAGTGTGAGTCAGCCCGGAGGTGCTCGCCATTGAGCTGTGCTCAGTGCTTCCTGAGACCTGCGTGACGGCGCCCGTCTTCACGATTCCAGAATTCTTTTTTCTTCTTTTGTCATATTTTTAAGCTCTTTTTAATCGGTTTCCCAAGCGAGTCATCGATGGCTCTTCCTGTCATCAATTGTTGTATCTGGTGGAAGGGTAGCCCGTTAGATTTGTCACCTGCCGTCTCATAAAGATCACGTGCCCGGCCCCCGTTGTTTTAATTGAGATGTGGTCGATGCATAGCATGGTGTATGACATACGATCCAACATCTGAACGTGCCGTGACGCGGTGGCCACAGCAAGTCTAGTTAACAAAAGTCACCACCACAGTGCTTTTGATCACGAGTTATTGCTCACGTTTTTTTAAATCCCAAATGACACACTGATGCCAGCTACTATTTATGAAGACACGCTCCAGGCACTGTTTCAACTGCCCTGCATGGCCCAGCCCAGTGACCTGCCTCGGCACTCTGAGATGGGGACACTCGTGGTCTTTACCTTACAGAAAAGGGAACTGTGACACGCACAGGGCTGGCGACCTCCCTGCGGGCACACAGCTTTCAGGGTGAATCCAGGCAACTGGGCTCCAAGGCAGCGGCACTAACCACGGCCCTGGGGCCTTCTGTCAACGTTGCCAGATCTTCTCCGTCACCTGGCAAAGTATCTTTGCCGACATGAGACAATTAGGTGAAAAACGTGAATGTTTGAGCCACTGGGTCCTCCTCACTCATCAGCTTTACTGCTGAGTTGACTTGGTTCTAGGGAGTCATATGACTGTGTTATAGTCTACAGGATATCGCTGGTTAATCATCTGCCTTTGGGCACAGAGGCGTTACTTTTAAGCAGGAAGTGGTAATTCAGCAATTTGCTTTGGGCCAATCCTGGTTTCTCACTGCCTTTTTCTTAATGGCCATTAGAAATTCCATGTTAGCAGAACGGGTGCCCCTGAGCACGGCGAGCACAGCCTGCCCCGGCAGCCTCCTGTGGACCCTGCACTGCCCAAGGTGAGCACCGCTAAGCCCCTCGCGCCTTGCAGAGGTGTCTTAGCTTCTCTGACACCAGTCTGAAGACTATTAGACATGGAACTGTTTCCCTCTTAAGAACTCCAGACTGCGTGGGAGGCCGGCCGTGGACACTACGTCAGCGTCCGCGCCTCTGCGGGCACGTTGCCCTTGCGGTTCTAGCGGCCGCAGGGTTATCAAGAAAGCCGCTGTTCCTCTCAAGGCACAGTAAGTGACTTTAATTCCCCTTCACTAGAGTCAGGGAGATGGCTTCTTCCTATGTTAAATATCTGGAGAGAAATGCAATTCTTTATTTAACTAACCAGAAGCAAGGGTTGGAAAAGCTAAAAACTAAGCTAAGACACATTTTGGAGGCAATGCAAAAAGCGGTCGACGCAAAGATGGATCATGAGCAGGTGTCCAAAAAGCCGAGGCCTTGGCGGGAAGGAGCTGGTCAGGGGAGCCAGTTAAGAGAACTTCATCGGGTGGAAATGTTTTCTGAGACTCAGCACAGCACAGGAGAAGCTCTGATAACAGCCTCGAATGCCATCACGATCATGAGGTCGGGGTCTCGTGGCCGTGAAGGATACGTGGCTATGCGTGGAGGGCCGTGGGTCCCTCTCCGCAAAGCTTATGTAGGAAAGTAAATGTCGTGCAGGTCGGCGCTGGAAAGAGATAAATGCGAAGTCTGAATGAAAGCTGTTCCCGAAATGCTTAGAGATACGTTTTCTGTAAATAAAAAAGAAAATGTAAAAGCGAGCTTCCACGGAAGCAAAAGGAAGCAAAAGAAAAAACAAAACAAAAAAAATCATAAACCTGTATACAAATCACTGGAGAAAACCTTCTGGCTTCTTTCTTAATCACTCTGATTCGAAAGCAGAAGGAAGCCAGCCTCGAGTTTCGGCCCCACTGATGTTTATCTGAAAAAAGACAAAACTCGGTGTGTCCCGTGATTTAGATGGATTGAGAAAAATGAGTTATTGAATATAGACCGTTGCTGTTCGTAAGATTCTGATTTCAGCAAGAGGTTTTGAAATGAATATGTGATTTACGGTCTTGTGGCAGTTTCCCGTCCTTCAGGAAGATCCTCTGGAGGCGAAGTGAGCGAGAGCAGAGAGGGGCGGGGAGCCCCGCGCGGGCGTGAGGTCGGCCCTGGGGGTTCTGTGGCAGCAGGGAGACCGTGGACATGAAGCCTCACGTGATCCCAATGCCCAGAATGTACCTAGAACTTACTTTCCAGCACACGCACACACGTATCCCCACACACATACGCACACACACCCACCCCACCCATACGCACCTGCACACACACACTCACACACATCTGCACACACACCCGCCCATACACATCTGCACACACACACACCTGCCCATACACATCTGCACACACACACACTCACACACATCTGCACACACACCCGCCCATACACATCTGCACACATCCACACCCATACCCATATATCTGCACATACATATCTGCACACACCCACACCCATACACACACATCTGCACACACAACACATCGCCCATACACATCTGCACACACCCCCCACACACCCACACATCTGCATACACACCAGCACACACACATCCACACATCTGCACACACACATTCGCACACACACGTACCCCCACACACATCTGCGCACACACACACTCACACACATCTGCACACACACACATACACAACACATGTGACACACACATGCACACACAATGCACGTGTGCACACACACATCTATGCATGCAGCATTCATGGACACACACACACACATACCCACCCATACACATCTGCACACACCTGCACACACACACCCACACACATCTGCACACACACACACACACCCGCACATACACATCTGCACACATCCACACCCATACACATATATCTGCACACACACATCTGCACACACGCACACCCATACACACACATCTGCACACACAACACATAAATACACACATACACATAACACACATGCACACCCAACACACGGGACACACACACACATAACGCACATGCGCACATGCACATCTATGCATGCAGCATTCATGGACACATACACAACACATGTGACACACACATGCACACACAATGCACGTGTGCACACACACATCTATGCATGCAGCATTCATGGACACACACACAACACACGGGACACACGCATGCACACACATAATGCACATGCACACGCACATCTATGCATGCAGCATTCATGGACACACACACACCACACGGGACACACACATGCACACACATAATGCACATGCACACACACATCTATGCATGCAGCATTCATGGACACGCACACAACACATGGGACACACACATGCACACACATAATGCACATGCACACGCACATCTATGCATGCAGCATTCATGGACACGCACACAACACATGGGACACACACATGCACACACATAATGCACGTGCGCACACACATCTATGCATGCAGCACATTCACGGACACACACACACTCTTTTTAGTTCTTGCTCCTCGTCTTGCAGGCTATTTCTATTTATGGAAATAGGCGCAGAATTTTAATCTGCTTTAATTTGATTGTAATGAACTGTTAAACATGTTATTCAATTTGTTTGAATTAAATATTTAGCAGTTTTTTTGCTGGTAGTATTTCAGTAAATATTATCAATGTTTTCCCCATGTTCCCCCTTGGGGAGAGTCTGTCCGTGGCCAAGTAGACAAACACGGCCATGTCCTCTGCCTTTCCAGCCATCTCCTCTCCCCCTGAGAGCTTACTGCCCTCTTGGCTGTCCTCTGCCTACTGCCACCCCAGCCCTGGTCCCACCAGCAGACTGCCAGGAATTTGTCTCTCTGAGTTTATCGTCAGCTAATGGATACCAGCTGAAACGCTTGCTGCTACAGACTTACACGGCGTCCCGCCTGTCCCTGGTCACCTGTGTATGACTAAGGACTGCC